TATATATATAATAGGTGACCTATTATACCTATATATATTGGTTTGGTGACCTATTATATGTCACCTAACCAAATGATGTTGAAAAAAACAGAGCAGCCTTGATCATTTATTTCCGCTGAAAATGATTGTGGTAATCTCAAGCTTGTGGGCGGTGAACTCTCAATAGAGATCAATGCCTATCTGAAAGCACAAATGCATGTGAAGCAAGAAAAAACCCCACAAGAACCTGAATATAAAAATGTTATGCTGCTCTTCTGCGACTCTAACATGTCATTTGACACTGTTTATATTTTTGACAGACAGCTGCTGTGACACTGTGACCAAAGTTCAAAGTTATGAGGGATATTCTGAGTCCTTCAGTTGTCCGTATGAGTCTCAGTACCAGAACAGCCTGAAGTACATCTGCAGAGGAAACCAGCCCTCCACATGTCTGCAGCAGGCACTGATCACCTCTGACACCAAACAAAATGGACGATTCAGACTTGATGATGACAAAGTGTCAGGAACATTCACTGTGACCATTAACAGTTTGGTCAAAGGTGATTCAGGATCATACCTCTGTGGTGTCCAAAGAAACTCTGAGCTGGATGTTTTCTCTGCTGTTGAGCTGAAAGTCAAAGGTGAGAGGTCATAATAATATCACTTTACACCAACTGAAAGACAGCTTACAGTACAGTTTTCTGCAAAACACTTTTTAGGAAAGCTGAATAGTTTGTGATTTCACAATTTTGTCTTTCAATCTGACAGAGTGGTGCTGTGTCAAGTCAAGTCAAATAAATGGTACTGTAGGACATCCACTAATTTTTCAGTGTCCCTATCCTCCACAACATCGGTATAACAGGAAGTTCCTCTGTAAGGGAGACCATCGCAACAAATGCACAGACATGGTGGCGAGTCAAAGTAGATTTACAATAGAAGATAATGGTTCTTCCAGCTCTTTCTCAGTGACGATCACAAAGATACAAGCAGATGATACTGGGACATACTGGTGTGGGTCAGACTCTCAGTGGAGCCATGGAAACTACACCAGGATTCAGCTTTCAGTCGGTGAGACGAATACTTGTGTACATGAAAATAACATGGTTAGAGCTGTAAGTTACACCCTATTCTCAGACCATTGTGTCAGTGTGTCTAGTCATCGTGTCATTTGTAGCGTGATGACTGAGGACACTCGTGTAAAACTAGGACTACTGAAAACCTCATTTACCGCTGCTTACTTACACTTTTTTGGTGGCTTAAATATAGACACAGCCTCTTCTAGCCTTGCAGAAGTACTTCTGATTGTGTACTTAGTTCTCCAAGCTAAAAGCTGAAACATTATTATTATACATAAACATATTATTATTCTAACTAATTATTCTATTTTCTAATGAAATATTACCGAAAATGAAAATATATATATGATGATTCAATGATGGTTCAATTCATTCAATTCTCAAATGAGAAAAACATGCACCTATAACAGGGTGTTTTACTGTTTAAATTAGTTAAAGTCTAACTTTAGCTCAGTGAATACTTTCAGAAAGACTTAACTGACTGCTAGATTTCTACTCCTTCCTTTATTTTTTAAAAAAAAGTTGCTAAGAGCCTTGTTTCTCCAACAGTCTTTCAGCAGCATTCCGGCAATGGAGCTTCCACAGTGGAAACACCAGCACAAATTTCAGGTAAACTTATGAAGGGTACAGTATATACAGTACACATCTTTTAGTCTATAGTGCTGTTGATCAATGTTGTGAGATCAAATATTTTACCTCTCCATAAGCTATGGATACTTTTTGGAACTAGTTATAGTTTCATGGCAAAACAGAGAGTGTGTGACCCGTGGCCAACAGTAAATATCAATAAAAAGAAACATTATCACAAAGGATAATGTTTGAGGATGTTTTTTTTACTGTTTCTGTTTTGGTTTCTGTTTTTCAGATGCAGGACAATATGTGGTTTACGCTGTGCCCGCTGTGCTGCTGGTACTTATATGTGTCCTTGTGCTCATAGTTTATAAGTGCAAACGTCAGAAAATAAAAGGTATATTTTGGATTCATAGACATGCACAAATGTACCGAAATGTACATGCAAAAAGAACATAACCACGTTTTATGCTGTGTGTGTTCAGGTAATGAAGCTGTCATGAACAGAAATACATCAAAGACAGGAGGCTTAGAGGAAGTAATGGGTGCAGCAGAAAATGGCGTAAGACAACAGCAGACAACAAGTCTCACTATATCACAACTAACTAACTATTCTTAGCTGTGTTCAATACAGTACTTTGCAAAATACTTTCATGTAATTTTTTAAAAGTTCTCCAGGCTTTCTGAAGGTCATTCAAAGTTTTTCTTTGGACATTGGTTCACACTCTTGTTTTTGTTTATTTTTTCCAATAAAAATAAAAGTAATGTTCGTATCTCCACTTCTCCAAAGCTGTACAGCCCTACTATATCCTCCTCCTCCTGCATATGAACTGAAATCAGTTGATTGTAGCACGAGTGAGCAGGAAGAGCAAAGCATGTTTGTTTGGATGTTTTTTCCCCCACTCTATCAAACTGGTGCACATATAACTGAAGAACCTTTGTAATGCAAGTAACAACATAAACATTTAATCGTTTATGAGTTTTTATAATTTAACAGAGCAGAATTATGTCAAACATCAGTTTGACACTAGATGAAAGCACTGCTACTGCTATGCACAGCTTCAGTCTTGTCATGTGACAGTGTTGGTGTTTAGTAAAGGTCACAGATCACCAAAATTGCAATTCAAATTCTTTTAAGCAATTTCACTTGGAGAGCAAGAGATTTGCAGGCAAATGCCTTATAACCCTTACTGTTCTGAGCATGATATCACTGAGAGACCTGGAGAAAAATTCTACAAAACAGGTGTTTGAACTTAAGGATGAACATAAGCAATAATATAGGATTTGATCAAAATATTAAACTTAAATGTCTGTGTGACCACAAAAAAACACGTTTACATTTAACTCAAGAATTCAAACACTAATAATGTTCAACACTAATATAGGATCAAATAATTAAGTAACCACATTTAAAATCACCATAATTGCAACAGGTGTGACAGTGATTTGATGACAAAACTTGATGCTCATCTTGAAATTGTGGGGATTTTATAGGGTTAAAACTGATTTGAATTAGTTATCACAACAATAAGCACGGTTTAAGGAAGAAATAATCAGTTAAGATTTGAAAACATAAGAGAAAAAAGAGAAGTAGTCCCTTTGCTGGTTTTGCAGTTCTACAGTGTGAAATTAAAACTAAAAAAAATTATAGTAGTGGATTGTCTCATTGAGGTATTTGGGGGTAGCACGAAATGTTTTTGATGACAGACACTGGTCCACAGGCTACACTTAAGAGAGCTGCAGCTTTATACTTTCTATGATGTTGAGCTGAGAACATGTGGGAAGCATCCAGTTTTAGTCTTTTTAACTTCTTTTCACCCTAAAACTTGGGTAAACTTTGGAATTTATCTGCAGCAATATTTGAAACATTATTTGCCCTTAGGGTTCTATCAGAATTTAATTGTTGGTCAAACATAGTGTATTTTATACGCATCTCTTACTATAATTCTTCATATTGTGAGTCTGGATAGATGTGGTTTTACTCATTAGTGGTGAAATCAGATCATAAGACAATCTTAGTTTGAAAGTGGTGCCAGAAAAAAATGTTGTTGTTTTTTTATGTTTGCTTTATAAAATGTTTCCATAACACTGTCATGTGTTTTCCATTGGTTTCTGAATAGATTTATGGAAACGATGAAGTTGTGAGGTATTCAGAGAAGCAAACCTCCAAGAGTGCCTGTAACGACTATCATGATGCAGGTGAAGATGAACCAGACTATGAAAACTGCACACAATCTGAAGAAATCTACTGTAATGAAGATTTCCATAAAGCCAATAGAAGATGAGAGTAATTACATCTGTGCATACATTCAAAAACAGATTCAAAGTGTTTTGTTCACCAGGGCTTGCACTTAATAAATGTTCCTTTGTTTTTTATTCTTTTGCTGTTTTCACTGCGTTAGCACACTAAACCTGTTCAGGTTAAGGTATTGCTTGCTGTTGACAGCATGATGTGGACTGTGCTTCTGAAACTGTGAGAAACCAGCCAAAAATTAAATGTAATTATTGCATTTTTCATTTTTTTCCATTGGTTGCAATTGAAGATTTCTGACACAAGCAGTTACTGGATTCAATTTTACAGACAAAAGTAAACATTATTCATCAACATGTGTCATGTAACCATCTAATATCTGCACAAATGTGGCAGGTTTCCCCCGTGGAGTGCTTCTATTAACCGACGTGTATTTTTGGTAATGCTTGGTTTAATTTTGGTAGTACAACCACAGTACTAAGTAAGATAACCGCAGTATTGTATTGCTTAAATTTATAATGATGTATTTATATTATTATTGTTTTGTTTTTCTTATTTTTCTATGTAGGAAACTTTTTTCTAACTTCTAGAGAGTTTGGTGCCACTTGAATGAAACCATCAATTTGAATTTTCTTCTGAGGAGATTAAAAAAAAATCAACTTCCTTCAAAAAGTCTCACTTTCATTGTCACTGGTTAGTGTGGCACAGTGACCCTGTGGTTACAGCACCAGTAATTTTACTGCAGTATTTTACAAGAGTGCAGTTTGCATCACTTGTTAATAGGAATAAAGATTGCATTCAAGTATGTTTCTTGCAAAACTTTAATTCTTACCTTTCATTTTATTGTAATTTTTAAAAATAAATGGTATATATAATATTATAACTTCTTTTTACTTTTCACTAATGATGTGGCACCAAATAATTGGTTATGGGCATAAAGTGAACAATTATGACGGTATTTGAAATGATTCGATTTCCTTTTCCTGGGGACTATTTTGGACTTTCCAGACAGACAGAAATAAAGACGACAGAAAAACATGACTGTTGTTCCTCTTTTGTGATGAATCTTTCTGTGAAAATTAGAAGTGACTGTAGTGGTAAGCATATTGCAAAGGAAACTTTTAAATATAAAAATAACTGCACACTTCTCACGCTGGATCTGGATATGTCACCCACTTGCTTAAAGAGAAAATCAGCTAAAAGTTTTCTATGAACAAATCTGTTTTGTGCTCATTGCATCACAATAGAAGGCAAATACAATTCCAAAGCACAATATGACAAGAGAACCGGGAACATTTAAGAAAATGTTGGCATACATGGGTGTTATCAGCTGTGCTACCAAGCTTAAACCAAGAAGGATGATAGTTGCTATATTAGCATTATCTGACAAAACTAGTTAGCTGCTTTACCAAATATATGGGGAGTTTTTAGAACTGTGACTGTAGAAATTCTTGGTTTACTGACCAAATTTAACTAAAAAATTATTTTTTGATAATTGTTCTAATAATTGACATTTCTTGTGAAATTAGACCAACTTTTCAAGGACCCAGCTTTTTAACCTCCTGAGACCCAAACTCTTTCATGCCATGCATTTTTAATTTTTCGTTGCTATTTGGGCTGATTGGGACCTGATGAAAGTAAAAACAAAGAATTGCCTGATTTTTTGGGGGGGGATTTTTGTTTCTGAGAAAAATTAGATCCACATATGAGGACATTTGTTTTAAATTTCAATAGAACAGTGGTAGTATAATCTCCTTGTAAGTGGATATCATGCCCTTGTAGAGGTTAATTTGTATTTTGGTCTAGACAACCCAAAACGTGATGTCCGCATATGTGGATACCAGGTCCCAGGAGGCCCTTGGGCAAATTCAGCAGTTTTAGTTTTCTGGTTTGGCTACTGGTTGGATAAAGCAGCATTGTGGTGGTGTTAGTTTAAGTTCTAAGACTGTTGTTTCTGAACCATTAACATAATTAACAGAGAATAAAATGCATGTTTGCTGTGCTTCTTTTATGTGAATGCAACATTGATAATAAGATATGAAACTCAAGGGGCCTGTTTATCGAGTGATTTTAGTTTCAGTTCTTTAAGCACAGTTTCCTAAATACACTTAAATACTTACAGTTAACAATTTCAGTGCAAAACCTAACTTTAACAGTGTGATATTTCTTTCAACACTAGGAGGCATACGTCAGTTACAAATCTTAAAATGCCTCTAGAAGAGGTCCAGTCACCTCTGTACTGATAGTCTAGCTCCACCCTGGCTTCCCTGTTGTGTGCGAGTCATTCCTGTCAAGTTTCTGTTTTGATTAAACAAAGCAAAGATGTGGATCCTTCAAAACCTGCTGTTCACCCTTTGTAGTAAGTAGTTTAAATAGCTACAGAAGAATAACAAATCTGTTATTGGGAATGTTATTATACATGATTTTCGACATGACAAAACAAATAATTATTACATTTTTATACTGTCTTTACTTTACAGTTGCTCTGAGGTGTGTGATCGGTGCAGTAGGGGGAATCCATGTGACTGGATATATGGGGAGTGAGGTTACCGTTTCCTGCTCCTATGGCCAGGGTTATGAGTCTTATGAGAAGTATCTGTGTAAGAACAACTGTGGTAATGGTGATGTTCTTATTAAAACATCAGAATCAAGGAAAAACAAATATGTTATCCATGATGACAAAACAGCACGAATCTTCACAACGACCATCTTTGATCTTCATTCTGTGGATGCTGGCAAATACTGGTGTGGGGTGAGCAAATTTGGAAAAGATATCTACACTGAAGTCGAGCTGAAATTAATGCCAGGTAAATACATTCTTCTTCTCAAAATGTATTTTATAATGAAGTAAAATAATTAAGATGATGTTAAAGATAATCAAGTTTGTGTTTCCAGTGATTACAAGGTGACATAAAATTAAAATATAATGTGTAAAGGATTATTTCCTTTATCTTTTTGACAGACAGCTGCTGTGACACTGATTAAATCACACAAACTCTGGGTCTCAGGCAATCTTGTTGCAGCAAGCTAAATATAAAACATCCTCTTTCTATTCTGTGGCTGTGCAACATTTTCTGATTCTGTTTATATTTTTGACAGACAGCTGCTGTGACAATATGACCAAGCTTGAAAGCTATGAGGGATATTCTGAGTCCATCAGTTGTCTGTATGAGTTTCAGTACCAGAACAACCTGAAGTACATCTGCAGAGGAAATCGGCGCTCCACATGTCGTCGGCAGGCACTGATCACCTCTCATAGCAGACAACATGGACGATTCAGACTCGATGATGACAAAATCTCGGGAAAATTTACAGTGACCATTAACAGTTTGACCAAAAGTGATTCAGGGTCATACCTCTGTGGTGTCCAAAGAAACTCGGACCTGGATGTTTTCTCTGCTGTTGAGCTGGAAGTCAAAGGTGAGAGGTCATCGTTATATGTCATTAATTCAGCCAAAATAAAACACTGTTTTCTGTAAAAGTCTCTTTAATAAAGTTGAATGTGATTCTTAAATACTTGGAGGAAAGTACACCAAGATTCAGCTGTCAGTATTTAAGTTGAACAGTTGTGTATATGACAGCAAAATTAATGTCTTTGTTTGCACCCAACTTGTTAACCATGGACTGCAGTTTTTAATTCAATTGTCTGACGTGATGAAATAGTACAGCAGCCAACTGGTTTCACACTAAATGCAATAAATCTGCCAAAAATGGAACTGCTGAGAACACTGCGTAATAAGGCAGACGCATCACCTCCCACAGTATGCATCCACGTTGACAGGGCCTCTTCTAGACTCTCAGTGATTACATTTTTTTCACAGATTATAAAGTAGTTTTTGACTTTCTTTCATATAAAAACTGATGATGAAAGTACTATTGACCTACAAGTTCTTTAACAGCTTTTATATCAATCTTTCCACCCACCCATCTATATCTCTATCTTTATATAAGCATAACTAAGCAAATCTTGCTTTATCCACCACAGCCCCTAACACAATTTTTAATAGTGTATTTAGTGCTAAAAGCTAACCCCAGGTGTTTATATAAGGGGTTATCATTTATACAATAGAAGACAATAAGATATGCACTACCTTTTTTATACTTTCTATGTTATATATGTCATTTTTTTCTCTTTATGCCAGTGAAATACTTTGAAATTTACATAGGCTATATGAGGCTTTATGAGTAACAGAAAGAGTGAGTGTCGGAGCCACAATCCACAATAAAACACAGAGCATCCGGGAAATCCTGAGACAAGCTGCTCCAAGAATGCCTCAGGAAGCTGAATACAGATGATGATGAGCCACAGAAGGAGGAACTGTCATGGATGACCAAACCACATGGATGCACCATCAACAGATAGAGGAAGTGGCTGACATCAGGACATCCTACCAAAAAGGCTGGCTTAAAGGAAAACACAAGAGACTCTGAACAAGGAGCAAAGGACCACAACTAAGATAAATCAGAATCCCACCAGAGCACGACATCAAGAAGAAGGAGGACAAGATAACTGTCAAGTACCAGGGGCTGAAGGAACAAGTAGACCAGTGAAAGGAGGTAAAATCCAAAGTGATCCAGTGGTAATTGTACAACAGCTTCAAGCACAGCTTAATAAAGGAAGTCTCCGTTTCATCTGTTAAAGGAAGACTTTGAGCTACAGGTTTGACAGGATGAGTTGCAGCAAGAAAGCCATTGCTAAGAGTAAGACAAAGAGGCTTGTCTGGGCCATGAAACACCGCCATTGGACTACTGAATACTGGAAGGAGGTATTATGGACTGAGGAAACTAAATTAGAAATCTTCAGTTCATCACGCAGGATTTTTGTATGCTGTCAAAGAGGCGAAAGGATGGTTCCACAATGTGAGAGGCACCCTGAACCAAAACTGCTACCACAGCATTCTGCAGCACCATGCAATACCCTCTGGTATGCGCCTATTTCAGAGTGCAATCAGACATTAAACTGCATAATTTTTTATAAAAAACTGTAAAAATTGGGGTGTTCTAAAACTTCTAAAACTGAGCCGTAGTGTATATATAACATTTGTAATTTTTTTTCAGATTTTTTGGATGGGTTTGGAGCAGAGATAAGTGTCTGGTTTGAACAAATATGTGAATGAATCCGTCCCAACTTAAAATTTTCTGTGATTATCTCTTTTTCAGACCATTCTCTATAAACCCTAGAGGTAGTGTTTTCCGACTGACCCCTCAGGCTCCAACAGTCATAAAATGTTCAACTGAGCACTGAGTTTCTGACACGTGATTGGCTTATTAGACTTATATCTTCATGAGCATGTTGGTCTGTTGATGTGGTTCATGGTTACAATGTGAGTAATTCCCCTGGGATTAAGCACAAGTAAAGTCAATATGCTCGTAAGTGTCAAAACAGCTGTGTAAGTGTGCACCTGTGATCAACAGTTATGCTGAAATGCCAATAACTGAAAAGGAACTTTCTATTCTGTTTTTAATTGGTTTCTATTTTTCAGAAGCGGTGCACTACGCAGCTTACGCTGTTGTCGCTGTGGTTTTACTAATATGTGTCCTGGTTATTATTTATAAGTACAAATGTTACAATGTGAGAGGTATGCTATAGTTTATATTTACACACATATTCAGACTCTACACTCAGATGTGCATGCAGAAAGAGCTGAAACATTTCTTAAACTGTATTTTCAGCAACTGAAGCTGTCATGAGCAGAAATACACCCAAAGCAGATGATGTGATAGATGCAGAAGAAGGTGGAGTAAGTCCAAAGCCTATATGTGTATAATACACACACACACACACACACACACACACACGATTATTGATTAAACTGAGACGTTGACCAGCTAACTGGTTATCAGTCTGCTTTGGTTTGGATTTAAACTTGTTATCTCAGGGGCGCCTGTGGACAGAAGGAGCTTTTAAAACTAAAAATGATTTAGTGATCAAAAGAAACGTTATAGAGTGGTATCAACTACTGTGATGTTTAGAACAGAAAAGTGAAAAATTTAAAAGAAGAGCTCACTCAGCCGGTTTTATGCTTCTTTAGCATAATGTGACATTAACTGCAAATTAATGGATTTTATAGTCGTGCTATGATGTGTGGGAGTCATCCCGTTTTAGAACTTGTAGCTACTTTAAATCAGCTTCTGTGGTTCGGTCAGTATCTGTCATATGTAAAACATCTGCATTTAAAACATTTTTATTATATTTCTTGGAATAAAAGTTGTCACTACATATATTATATGAGCCTATGTATACTCATAGACTGCAACCAGGGTCTCTGCAGCATATGTGGTTCCCTAGCCTCTAACTATCTTTGTTGATTCTTTAGATTTATGGAAATCAAGAATTTGTGGTGACCTTCAAACAGCAAAGCGCCTTGAACCACTTTGATGATCCAGGCGGAGATGAACCAGATTATGAAAACGTTACAACTGAAGAACTCTACTGCAATGAAAATTACCATAAAGCTCAGAGAAGATAAATATGTACATATGTGCTTTAACTGTGGGTCTCAATTGTATGCAGATCCTGTTTGATTCATCCTTAACACGAGGTGGTCACCAATGTACCGCTGTTGTTCAACATTGTCACTGTCTTACAATCCCTACTTCATTATTATCATGAAAAACATCCTGTGAATATTTATAGATTAAATTACAGATAAAAGCAAACGGGCTGTGCCAGTCAGAGGGAATATGTTTTGCAGGTGGGTTTTACTGCTTATCCTTAAAGTATAATGTATTGATAAGACTTCTGTATTTTAACTAAAATAGTGAATGAATACTTTTTTTTTTCAACCAAGCAAGTGTGAATATTTTTTTCACTGATGGACATCATGTCATGGTCCCTGGTCCGCCTTTTTTATTTTGGGTTTCCTCATGGTTTTTACACTGTAGTGTGTTTTTCTCACTGTGTTCGTAATGTGGCTTCCCTGTGTTATGTATTTCCTGTTTTACTTTGTTAGTCCCTGTTCTGTGTGTAGTCTGTCTGGTTTTTCTCCCCCTTGTCTTGTCAGCCCTGATTTGACCCAGCTGTGTTTCCCTCCTGTCTCTTTTGCTCCTTCTGTGTATTTTAGGCCGGTGTTTCTCTGTGTCAGTGTTGCATCGTTAATGTCTGCTCACCCTCATTCCCCACTGTGTTTTCTGTCTGCCAGTTTAGTTTAGTCACTTTACTAGTTTTCGGTTTTGTTCTCTGTCCAGCAGTAAATCTGAGTTGTTTAAGTCCGTTTTGGCTCAGCGAGTCCGGCTCTTAGGTCCACCACTCCTGCCTGCCTGCACACAGCCATGACACATCAAGTCTTTTGCCTTATTATGCAAGAATCATACAATTGAAAGTGTAAACATATTTTAACATGAAAACCTGTCAGAATGTGATGGTCCCTTTTGTCTATTTATTTATTTTTAAATAAATGCACATTTCTTTGTGTTTTGGTGAATGATTTACGAGCTATCATTTAAATGGAAATATAATGTTTGCAAAGACCTGAACTACACATGAATGCAATCTACTAGGTGCTTTAACACTGCTGGAAGTGGAAATAAATAGGTGCTTCAGTTGCAGCAGGAGGGCAGTCACAGAGAAACTCAAAGTCTGTTGAAGAAAACCGTCCATTGAGCAGTTTAAGAGTTAAGAGTTTTCACTAAACCTATTTTCTGAAACTGGTCTCTGGTCAGGCATTTAAGCCGTACAACCATTTATGACTTTTAGTAAACTGAGAGTGAAATTAAAAAAAAGGGAAAAGCAAAACTCTTTCAGTATTGCTGCTTAGTGTGTCACACTGAGCCCTCTGCTGGCGCTGTTTCAGTGTAACACTGAATACAGTAATTATGCTGCAGTATTCGAAATAAGCATCACTCATTCATATTGAATGTGTAAAAAATGTAAATGACTGTAGTGGTAAGCATTTCAGGGTATCCAGATATTAAAATTGAAATAAAATTATATCACAGTGTCTTTGCATAAATTCTGGATGGTTCAACATGCTGTTTAAAGGCTACAGGAACAGTTTCCTAAGAACAAACCTACTGTGGTCTTTCTTTGGGATTGTTATTTTTGATAGACAGGGTCATGCAATCACTCATGAAATGATCTCATCCAAATTTTTTTCTTTTTTTTTTTAAGTTTTCTTTTGTTAACATATGCAATATTTGATATCTAACTCCTCACAGCATCCTTCATAATAATCAGCTAGCTCACACCCTTCAAAATGAATCCAACTCCTATTCTTCAGCTCCACACTCTGAGAGAAAGGCTCTCACTCCATGTTTTTCTTTAGCTGCTGAGTATCTTGTTCTTGTGTCTGAGTCATAACTAGCCTCCCCCATTTTCTGAGGCTGAGTCAATGCTGGTTCCTCAGACACAGGGTGGTTAAACAAAGCATTTCGTGTAATGTTTTGACAGCAAAGCCTAGCAATACTTCTTTCACCACTAGATGGCATATATCAACTATTTTATAAATTTTAAAATTCCTTTATGAGAAGGGCCACCCAAGAATGCTCCATCCCTGCTGTTCTGACAGTCTGTCTTTGCATCTGGCTTACATAAAAATACCTCTAATGTGAGTACTACAAAATACAAAAACAAGCATTTTCTTTTTCAAGTTTCCTCTCAAGCAGCTTTCTGTCCCAAACATTTAACAGTAACAAAAGCACACAAAACACTTCTGAAAGAACAAATGTAAATAGGAAGCAGACGTACATGACATCAAATACATTTAAATCCTCATAAACATTAGATGATGGAAAAAAATGCTTTGAAAGGGTCTAATAAAGTCACTGTGTCATAATTTGTTTTTACGTGGAAGGAATGAGAATTTGGTAGTTTAAAGTATAAGAACAGATAACTCCAGGTAGAGATTGGGATGGCTTAGAACACAAGTGTAAGTGACAGAAGCAAAAAACGATTAATATATTTTCACTATGACATTGTTATGTTCAAATATAGTCCCATCCCAGTGTTTTTCTATGGTTTCCTTTTGACCGACAACTGCTGGATGTCCAAGTTGTGAGGTCATAGTTATACTTCATTACATCATCCTAAAGAAAACATTGGTGAGTGTAAAACAGTCAGATGCCCTCCCTGTATGTGCATTGAGTTTTCACTTTACCACATCCTTTGTGTTGTTTATAATTTCTGTGAAGGTTCTCAGTCATCCAGGTCATCGTAGTCTAAGGAGCTTGGGGAGAAAAAAGCGTCTGAACTTCTTTAAGTTGCTTGAAGACGTTTCACCTCTCATCTGAGAAGCTTCTTCAGTTCTAGGGTCAAATGGTGGAGAGTCCCAGATTTAAGCCCTGTGGGAGTGTCCCCCCATGAGGGACAATGATCCTCTACCAAATCACATGGGCCAAGGTGTGAAAACGGTTTCGGGTGAGCTCATTGTGAATCCTGGCCCCACCCTATCATGTGATTTCCTGAGGTCAGATGGCCCAGGATGTGAGTGGGCGTTAAGGTGTCTGGGAAGGGATCTCAAAACTGGATGGCAGACAGTTGGTGTCGTAAACCACGGCCTCTGTTTAAAGATGGTTGCTCACAGTGGACATAAGTGCTTCTTTTACTCCTCTTTCAAACCATCTGTCCTCTCTGTCCAAAATGTGAACACTGGCATCCTCGAAAGAGTGACCTTTGTCCTTTAGATGCAGATGGACCGCCAAGTCTTGTCCTGTGGAGGTGGCTCTTCTATGTTGTGCCAAATGTTTATGAAGTGGCTATTTGGTCTCTCCAATGTAGAGGTCTGGGCATTCCTCGCTATATTATACAGCATACACCACATTATTAGGTTTGTGTTTAGAAATTTTGTCTTTGGGCTGAACCAGTTTCTGTCTGAGTGTGTTGCTGGGTCTGAAGTAAACTGGGATGTCATGCTTGGAGAAGACTCTCGTGAGTTTTTCTGATACACAGGCCACATAGGGGATGACAATGTTGTTGTGTTTGTCTTTCTTATCCTCCCTAGATGGTGTCTGATCTTCTTTCCTGTGCATCTTTCCTGACTTGATGAAAGCCCAATTAGCATAACCGCATGTTTTGAGAGCTTCCTTTACATGTGTGTGTTCCTTCTCTTTCTCTTCAGGCTTTCCAAGCTCCTTAGACTGTTGTTTATAATACAACAACAGTATAATCTTACATGTCAGTAGACAGAGCTGGCTGTCATCCCAGAAGTTAAAGTCTAAGTGTCGAAGCAAACTGTCGCACTGTCATGTTTTGGCAAAAAGCAGACCCAAAGAGCAGATTCAAATAATGTCTGGTAGGTTTAAAGTGTTTCTGTTTAAGGAATGACTTGTTTGTGGTTTGAAGGCAGTTTGTGGTAGAATTCACCATCATTACAAACTGGCATATGGGAACTCTGTTAGAGAGGAGACAAAGGATTAATTGGAGTTCATGATGAAGACAGTGATTAATAGTCTTACTTTTGTTAGGAGTGAGAGGAGCCTCGGAGGTAGTTATTGCACAGCCAAGTCCTTCTTATGAGAGATTACAGAAAGCTGGTGTTAGAGCTGGTAAGTAGAACTGAAGGTTTCCACAGGCAACAGGTTTCCAGATATTCAAGGGTTCTGTGATGGTGTGGAGCAGGTAACTAGGAGAAGTAAGACAAGACTGGGTTAGAACAAGCAGGTACTTGCAAGTAACCGGTAACAGAGATGGCCTAATAGTCACCACATACCAACAACAATCTAGAAGACAACTGTTGCAACTTCCAGCTTGATATAGTCCAAAACTAGGCAAGTGTAGGAAGGATCGTTTCATTTGAGAAACTCCACCCAGGGGCGGAGCAGCAGAGAGAAGCCAGCCCAGAAACTCCACCTGAGTTTTAAAGGCAAGGAGAAGTTAACATAAGAACATATTTCCAGCCAGCTGCCCTACAACACTCTCAAACCAAATGGAAAAAATGGCACTGCAGCGCATCCACGAACTTTGGAGTGTCCTCATCCATACATAATGTATGTATGTGTGTGTGTGTGTGTGTCTCTTGTGTTTACTTAAGTGCTGTGAGAACTAGTATGTTTGTGCACTATGAAATCATTTCATCAATCATTTGAAATTAAAACAAAAAGAAGCAAAAGGTTGCATATGTACTATATGTGCAAAACAAATGATCTAAATGTAAGAGTTTAAAAATGTTGTCTAAATGCAGAAGTTAAAGGCTTCAGCACTGCCATGACATGCAGGAACTCAAACTGCTGTGGTGATACTTTTAGTACATTTCCGTTTAGGTTTCTATTTTTACGAAGCAAAGCAGAGATGTGGAGCTTGCAAAACCTGCTGTTCACCATCTGCGGTAAGTTGTTTAGATGAGTAAATACATAAACAGACCAAAGGTAGATTTAGATTAAATATAAACATCTGTTTTTGCAGTAACGGGCAGAATACCACACCTTGTCCATCGTGTATACAGCACTAGCATTGCTACTGTGAATGCTAACATGACAAATTAAACAGTGAAATATGTGTAATACTTTCTTTGCAGTTGCTCTGAGGTGTTTGATC